TACCCGTAAAGATGTTCTCCGGCAGGATACACGTGCTCTCATTCCACCGTGTGTCGGCTCTCTCCCCCCCTCACCTTACTAAGGCAGAGGAAGTTGTGCTTAGGAGGCTTCGGGCAGGGGTGGCCCTTACATCCAGCCGTTATATCATCATAAAACTGGTCGCATTAATTGGCGATACGTGTCCATATTGTGCCACTCCAGTGATGCAAGCAGATGCATATCACCTTTTGTGGACATGTCTAACGTTACAGCCAGAAGGCTCCCATCACCTCCTTCAAGTCGGCCTTCACTACAGTGACACAACCAGTTACAACCGCTGGACACATGACAACACTTTCTACATGGCACTACTCACTTCATACACAACACTGGCCTAATGGCGCGCACTTAACAAACTCGCAAAAATATTATGTCTTAAAGGCAAGTCTTTGTTGCAATAAAAAAAAGGGACACACTTGGGCATTATGAGACACTCAAGTGCCTACGTAGAGCCTTCTTTCAAATTGTTTCCTGATGTGCCTACAATACCGCCTTTTTATGGCTCAACTTGAGATAATTTGTTTGGAAACAAAGTCAGTTCTGTCTCAGGCTCGCACTGTAATATCTTTTTAGCTGCAAGCTTTCCTTACAGTACTGCACAAGAAAACCATGTTAAAGCATGCATTGAACACAAGGTAGCTGAGCATGTAGTATGCATTACCAGTTGTCTCGCCCAAAATACCAGGAACCCAGAACCAGGAACCCCGTGATGGTACCTGCAGACCACACAATTGCAATAATATAACATTTATTTTGGTAAATCCTAATTGTAATTAATGGCCACAAAGACAGAATTTTCACAGATATTTTCGAAAATGCAGAGATTTTATTAGAAAGCTACGCAACATGCTGCACTGAGCAGAGCGTGATTTCTAGCAGCGCCTCCAGGGTGTGCTAGATGCACTACAATTAAGCAGATAGTCAAAGCAAGCACAGCAAACTCCTGTGCTCTACAAGGCAACAAAATGCACCACCTCTCAACCCCTATGGCACATGCATCATTGCTCCATGGAGCAGAGCCACGCTGCACCATACCTTGTGCATTTCTGTGCTGTCGCTGGTATGTTCTATACAGTACTCAACTGCCATCATTGTGCATGCATCCTCAGTAGAACATTCGTGAGCATTCAAGAAGATTCTCATGCATGAAGCACTAAGGTGCAAAGCTACGACACCTGTAACAATTTCAGTTTTTGGAACGTACGCATCGTCAAATATGAAAACTAAGCCCACATAACAGCATGCATGTTTAATCCTAATCCCAGTGTTCCTTATTTATCACAAGTACCATCTACATTCCAAGTGAAGAATAAGCACTTTTTCCCCTTGGTAATCAATACTTTTTTACATTTGAACTCAAACGAATGGTTTCCCTGTATCACATGCCGTGCAGAAGTCGATGCAGGTGCACAGTAAAATGCAGATAGCATGACTGGTATTGTATCACAGCCATTTGATCACATGCCTGCTACGGTGCAAGATATAATATGTGCAGTTTTATGTCCCAAAACCATGATGACATTGTGAAGAACGCTGTATTGAAGAGCTTCAGAAATATTGAGCCCCTGGTGTGAGATATCACTGCACACGGGTTTCTAGCATTTCATATCTATGAAAATGCAACCAATGCGACCGAAATTTAATCTGGACCTTGGGGTCAGTAGCGGAGTACCACAACTGATACATGACCACAGCAGACCCAATGCAAGAGCAGCTTCCTTCTATTTTCGCAAAGGTGTGAGCTGTAAGTCCTGTGAGGTTGACTCATCTCTTCTTGAAATGTCACTCTTGTAAGGAAACCCGCCATGCCACAGCAACCCTGCATGAGATTTCCTCCGAATGCATCCCATTGATATGGTTTATTTGCAATGTAGTTAGTCCAGATGAATGGCTCACTATACAGAAGGCACCCTACTAGTCTTTTTATTTGTTTGCACAGCTGCCTTAATTTACCAAATTGGTCAAGACCTCAGAGTGGAGGTGATACCAGTCTGGGAACAAGCCTCTAAATATGCAAGCTTTTCCTTGACTGCGTACACTGATAACATCGCAAAATATTCATTGTTTATGAAACATTCAAGCTTTATATTAGCCATGTTTTATAATATGCATTCATGACAAATTCATGAATGCAGTGATAACATTGTATTGTTTTATAATAAAAATGCCTCTTCAGTACTTTAATATTGCCACTATATTCGGTTTGTATTTGGCGCTATTTCGGACTCATAATGAATATTGAAAGTTACTCACTTTGTCTTACACTGTGAGAAAAGAAGGAGCACCATGTGGGGGGTGCCCCGCCACGGTGGTCTAGTGGTTAAGGTACTCGGCTGCTGACCCGCAGGCTGCGGGATCAAATCCCGGCTGTGGCGGCTGCATTTCCGATGGAGGCGGAAATGTTGTAGGCCCGTGTACTCAGATTTGGGTGCACGTTAAAGAACCTCAGGTGGTCAAAATTTCCGGAGCCTTCCACTACGGCGTCTCTCATAATCATATGGTGGTTTTGGGACGTTAAACCCCACAAATCAATCAGCACCATGTGGGGCATCTTTCTGCCACACAACAATACTAATCACCAGGTTTTTTTGCATTTGTGAAAAAATTGCCATTTCCTTTGTGTTTACCTATCAAGAGTGTTATGCCACGTGTATAGCCCACAGACCCCAAAAAGTAGAGTGCAGCAATATTACAAGAAAAACATGCAAAACAGATAACAGTTATCATTATGTGGTACAAAGGTGCATGTTTTACAAATATATTTTTAAAGTGAAATTGCTAAGACCACATAATAATAAACATAAACATGTTGGCACCTGGGACAAGCAAGGCAATGAAGAGAAGGGAGAGGTGTTGGAGCAGTATAGTGGAGGCGATAGCCCCCACCGGTTTTGGAGCTCTTGAATATATACTGTATTCTGAACTGTTAGTGCACATTCTGTTTTACAGCAAAGCCATAAAACAAAATTGGTCAGCAAATTTCATAATATTAAACACACTGCACCAGGTTAGAAGGTGCCTAAACCAACAACAGATGCTCGTGTGTTCCTCTGCTAGCAGATACGCGTACTCATTGCATTTTTAAAACTGACACTGAGGAAAGGCATTCAAAGAGATGGACAGACAAGTTGCCAAATGCATTCACCGTGCACTCCTGCAATGCCACAACTAAAGTTTGACTTCTGTGGGGTTTGGAGGCCCTTTAACAAGTGAAGGCAAATGGCATATCTTTGAAGATATGCAGTGCTTAAGGCATACAAAAGCACATGACCCAAAAACAAGAATTTGCACTGAAACAGACGTGCACTGTCTCATGTGTTTTTGTGTACCTTAAGGGACCCTGAAACACAGCGCTCTACAATTACATTGACTGCTTGTGTTTAATGTGTATTTCAATTTAAATATAAGCATTCTTGTACTTCTTGTACTCAAAATTGTTAGAAATAAAATCTGCAAGCACATTCCAAGAAAGTAGGCAACAGTGACACCTAGTAAAGGCCAAATTTGCAGCAACAAAAATAACTCCATTTGGTGTGTTCACCACAGTCGTTAATGGCAGTTTCGTTTCACATGAGCTACGATTTTCGCTTGCTAATTAGTGCAGCATGCATTGTTGCTTGCTGCCATTCTTTACTGCATCCACTACATAATTTTACTAATCTAATGTAACAATATGTGCATTATGACATTTTTAAATTTTTACAAACAGTGAAAACCATATGTTTTGCATTTAAAACAACGTCCAGTCTAAATTTAAGTTGAAGTGCAAACAGTGGCAATAAACATAAACATGTTGGCACCTGGGACAAGCAAGGCAATGAAGAGAAGGGAGAGGTGTTGGAGCAGTATAGTGGAGGCGATAGCCCCCACCGGTTTTGGAGCTCTTGAATATATACTGTATTCTGAACTGTTAGTGCACATTCTGTTTTACAGCAAAGCCATAAAACAAAATTGGTCAGCAAATTTCATAATATTAAACACACTGCACCAGGTTAGAAGGTGCCTAAACCAACAACAGATGCTCGTGTGTTCCTCTGCTAGCAGATACGCGTACTCATTGCATTTTTAAAACTGACACTGAGGAAAGGCATTCAAAGAGATGGACAGACAAGTTGCCAAATGCATTCACCGTGCACTCCTGCAATGCCACAACTAAAGTTTGACTTCTGTGGGGTTTGGAGGCCCTTTAACAAGTGAAGGCAAATGGCATATCTTTGAAGATATGCAGTGCTTAAGGCATACAAAAGCACATGACCCAAAAACAAGAATTTGCGCTGAAACAGACGTGCACTGTCTCATGTGTTTTTGTGTACCTTAAGGGACCCTGAAACGGTTTTTACGATTTTGTACAAGCACACTGAGCCGGCAGACAAGTCTTACAGGTCACTTACAGACTGACTTGAGCTCTCTGCATAAACTGTGTAATTTATTACAATACTTTAAAGCTGCAAATCGCTGCATCTCAGCCAAATGTGTTTTCAACCGCCCATTCACAGAGCGACATGCTATGGTAATGCGACGTCATGATACTGCTGATCTGATTGGGTGCGAAATGCATGGAAGTAAGATCGGCTGGTTGGGTGGCTGCACCTGTCAGAACAGATATCAACCACTTCGCAATCTTTGTCTCTGTTGCAAGACGGTGTGCGTGCTGCTGGGCACACTGTGTGATGGCCTCCAAGGTTATGGGAAACTTGCCGCCGTAAAATCTCGCGAGGTCTAGACTGCACGAAGCTCAGGTAATCAAGTGCACCTGTGACAGCTCTGGGGTCGCCAGTGTGTCTCATGAGTTCAGGAGGCAAGGCAGAGGTGCGAAGGAGGGCATAATTGTCCCTAGCAGCCGTGTCACTAAATTTGTGGTGCGAATGATTTATGTTCTAGCCTAAATGCTGGCTAAACATGAAATCATTCAAGGTCCCTATAAGTGTTGTGTACTCTAATGAATCTGTACCAACGTGTTCGCCGCAACAGCCTCTTTAGGCTCTTCTTTCTTTGTAGTCAGGCATTTCAATACAGAAAACCACAAAACAAGCACCAAAACTGCAAGCCGGATGAACAATGGCAAGACCCTCCGAAGCATTCCCGGTAAAGATTAAATTCACAGGAGGCTTTTGAATGATGCCAAATGACTGTTCCTTTCCGCCCCCATTTACATACAAAAAATAAACCAATCTAGCAACCCAACAAGCTCATTCTAAGACTGCCATAGATAAGCTAAGAAACTTGAAAACACCAGAAAAACAGCATGAATACAGAATAAACTCTGTATATTGCTAAAAATGGTCACAAAACCAATTATGATATTCACACAGTGATAACAAAGGAATTATTACCATACTCAGAGACAACTTTCTGTGGCAATGAAGGGAAGGCTACGGAACCAACGTGGGCATGTGCCACCACTAAAGAACATAGTCCCACAAATGGGCCTATGTTTTCGGCATGAAAATCATAAAAGAACAACATTATTTTCTGTGGGATGCTGTTTATAAAGAGACACTTCAAGAACCAATTTGTTTTGCTTCATGAAGCGTCATTTCGCGTTTTTGCACGTCTGAAAACGTCACATGCTTTAGGTGCATCTCACAGTCAAAATAGCATATTCGTCTTTAGGCGAGTGGTCGTTCTTTTTAAGCATTTTAGAAGGAGCTTGTGACGAATTTCACTCACAAATGTCTCTTTAAGCAGGCGTAGCCAATTCTACACAGTGGCATTATTCGAACACGGCCATCATTAAAAACATGAGCTGAACTGAACTACTTCATGAAGGAGAACATTCGCACTAGCTTCGCACCCGCAGCTTTCCCTTCATTGCCACAGACAGTTGTTCCCGAGTACACCATTACTCTAAGGTAACAACAAAAAAGAACCCCCACTGCCCATCAGCATGCGTGTTGCCTGACACAGCCTCGCTGGACATTCACATTCGTTGGGCGGGATAGCAGCCAATTTTTCTTTAGAACAAGCGTATCGACGATACTATGCACCCGACTAAAAACATTTATGCATGCTGGTCGCTCCCAGAGACACTGTCTACTTCATTTAGCTTCATGTTGCCTTTCAACTGTAAAACATTACACACGTCGATGCAACCAATCATAAAAGCACGCATAAACTTTGCGTCACATAAGTGGTATATCTGTCAAGCCTAATTAAACTGGCAACTAACCTATGCAAATAATTTAGCCAAAGTGTTTGTGAAGTGGTCATTTAAAATATACTAGATCCAATCTCCCAGTTCAACTGCCACATGATGATTCTTTATTTTACTCTGATAAATACAGTTAAATGTAAATGAAATGATAAGAAGAATGCAATTACACTATTTTTTCAATAAAGTCTGCAGAAATGCACCATTGTACAGATAAACAAAGACATATAGCAAAACCCACGTGATTTTCCACATCACATGAGGCCAGTTTCATACAGGGCTCCAAGACTTGACTAGAATACTGGAACTTAGTTTGTCTCTTATCAATGACTATGAAACCGAGGCACGTTTGACAATATAACACGAACATGTCGAATGAATAACAGGAACAGAAACTCCTCTAGCTGACTTGCTAGTAGGAAATGTGAAAATCAAGAAGCTTACGCCTGACCGAGTCAAGTAGTGCACAACCAGGCACAAACGTTTGTTCTGAGTATATGTAAAGATTCTTGACATGAACGCCGCAAGTACAAAAGAGGAATGAGTATGTCCCCATGACGATGGCGGATAATCCTGCCTGCAGGTGCTCCACCACGTGTGCACGACACTCGTGTCACGGTTGAAGACATCAGTGATCTCTGTCAAGGTGCCGAGTTCCAAGTGGCGTTCCCCCGAGCATTACCTTGGACCCAGCAACCATCGTGTCTGGCATTTCAGAGCAGTCGAATATGGGCCTGCTTCCGCCCGTCTGCATGTACCCGTAGCACATGGAACGCGTTGTGTGGGCCCACAGCAAATCACCGCTGCCACACTGAGGGTCCCAGCGAAGGGCGAGGATTCCAGCCAATCGGTCGGTGGTGTCCCTGAGGAATGGCGACTGCAGAAAACTCTGCCGGAAACAAGCGTCAAGCGCTACGACGGACCCGTCGTCAGTGGAGCGCCCGAGCGTCTGCGCGCACTGGCGCACCAGAGCGGTGCGAATGAGGTGCTCACCGCAGCCCGAACTCGAGACGGCCACCGCACAGCCGCCTTCCGGCGCGTTCTCGGCCCAACAGCCGCACCCGTAGACGGCCGCCTGGCCGACGCGGCCGGTGTGCTTGAGCCAGATGCCACCGCTGGACACGGCGGCCGCCACGTTACCCCGCCGATCCATGCAGACGGCGCCCACCGTGTCCAACTGCGGCGGATTGCTACTGTCTGAACTGGAACACGGGGCTACGACGTTCGTGTCTGCCGCCCACGGCTCGTCGTCGACCTCGCGCTTCAGCGTCGTGGGGACCAGGGGGCTCTTGCGCGCCAAGGTCTCCTCTGCCGAGCAGTGGTCGAGCCGGCGTTTCAGCTTGACGTAGCGCCTGCGCGCGTGGGCGGACACCAGGGCATCGGGCGTGCGTTCCACGTTGGGCAGCACGTGTTCGCGCGCCCAGCGCAGCGCTCCCTCACCGACCAGGAAGCAGGGCGGCGTGCGGCCCAGCGACAACGGGCCGGCATGCTGGGCGCGGCACAGTGCCTCGGCCACGAGTACCGGGTTGCCGACGCGCGGCAGCGCGCCCACGGCGCCGAATCCCAGGGTACGACCGTCCATAACCGAGGCGTCGCACTCGACGCGACCGCAAGACGTCAGGTTAGAACCAAACCCCGCATTGGTGAGCGGATCGTCTTCCAGCGTGGCCACGGCGGCCGCCACCGCCTCGAGAGCGCTCCCGTCCGAGCGCTCTAGTACTCCCACGGCGCGACGGCAGGCTGCGGAACACAATCGCCGGTAGCCGGGCAGTTTCTCCGGCGAATGGAAACCGGCGCCGACGTGGACGGCAACCACGGCTTCCATCGGGCGCCTCGTGCAGCGACGAGTACACCGAAAGTAGTCGAAGAATCACACAAAACACACCCGAGCACACACTGAAGGGAAATTGAAAACAGGCGACGACACCCAAATGCTAACCTGTTTCCGTGCTTAAGTAATGGGTCTTCAAATCACTGCAGGCGCATGAACGTAGTTTCTCATGTGACGCCGTAAATTTGTCGGCGCCCTCTCGCAACTACATGCCGAGCACGACCTACACGTGTTGCGCTGACAAGGGAAACACAAAATTTCGCGTCTTTGCGCGCATCGGAGAAGCTCGACTTGGCTTCGATGCGGATTGAGGCTTTCGGTTTTGGGGTGCAGCCCCATGACCTACTACACTCCTGACCTGTTCAGATAGCGGGGTTCCTATGGGAGCGCGTGTCCCCGCTCTCGTTCAATCGCTCGCCGTAGGTGGCGCTACCTATAACCTGTTCGTCTGCTACTTTACGGCTGTTTGGACGGCGCTAGAGTAAGAACGGCTGCATTCCGTGATGAACAGCCGGCATATATGTGACTATTTTTTCACTTAGATGACTGGTCAAGTAAGCTGTTCAGTGTGACGAAAAATTTATTGCACACTGGTGGACAAATGCGAGAATCCGTAGACTTACATAGTGTAGGACAGCATATGTGATGTTGCGTCCATTTAATTGCAAAGAATTTGTGAATGACTTTTGAAATATTTGTTTCAAATTATTTTTCATTAGTGCATAATAATTACGCAATATGAGTGCTCTGTTGGCCGAAATATGACCACGAACACTCAAGCTGACGTCAGCGAACAGGTGCTGACTAGCGCCACAGTGCTCCTAAGTTACGGCCCTAGCGGCAGAAGGTATGAACTAGAACGTGGGCGCTGGAAGAGGTGCTCTCTGGGCAGGTCAGGAGTGTAGTAGGTCATGTGCAGCCCAGCGCCTCCTATATTATTTTGTTCCTGTCGTGTGAGCGCCGCAGCGCCCGCCGTTTTCTT